TGCAAGAAAAAGGTGGCTGAGCAACTCCAAGGCAGAATACAATCATTTCTAATTGATACAAGACATAAGTATAACTGCTATTGTTTTTTCAAGAAAACCACTTGTAGAAAGTTATCTCCTTCCCATTGCTGGTCCACTGACTATATGGCTGTTATTATTGGCAACAGGATTGAGAAACTCATCCAAGTCTGTTGTGCCGTTTCCTTGCATGGAAAGATTAGAAGTCCCATATACAATCCAAAAAGTTAACATAGTCAGGGACAGTGGAGAGAAAGCAACAGCCTCCCCTCCAAGTGTGAAAAACCTTTCAAAGGAGTCTTGTGTTCAGCATTTAAGAACAAACTGGAAATGGGGTCCAAAATAGGAATGTGATCCACAGTCTGATATTTTTATCTTCTTGCCTGCGACTGTTCTCTGTAGTCTGTTTTCAAGTAATAGCAATGTTTAAATGATTTTATTATGCAAAAATAAATTTACTAAAGAGACGGAATTTATTCTTAAATATGTATGTACAACTTACGCCAAATTTCTGCACCTAAAATATTCTGTTTTAATAGTATTCCTCTATCCTCCTCTATCCTTTTTGTCACACCCAGAACTTTGATAAAGGTAATTCCAAGTCTTCTATAAAATGATTGTAATATTTGAAGCACTCACTTTTTAATTAAAAATTTAAAGCAGTTGGATTCCATTCCTAACTTGTACTCTTTCCCAATATCTTTTGGGGTGCAGAGGATGAGAAGACCTAGGGGAGGACTAGAAGGTGATATAAACTTTCAGAAGCTCTGTTCCATTCTGCCAAGATATTTGCCCAAATACCTCAGAATAATGGTATCACAAGTGGGATGTGAAGATTGGTCTGAATCTAATCCATTTCATTGTCCATCTTGCAGGCAGAATTCTGTTTCTCAGCTGTTTTATGTCTGGATTTTAATTATGAATGGACATATTGGCTTGTTAATTTATGAGCACGAGTTTATTTTTAAAGCTGTTAAGTGGTCTAAACTCTTGGCTTATTTCTTTTATTTCATAAGATGGGACTCGACAGCTTTACAGCACTTCCAAGAATTAACATGCAACTGTGTAACAGGGTTGCCATGAAATGGGCCTACTCACAAAATGGTTACTATGGTGGCATTCCTGTAAAGTAGCACTGGCAAATGATGGTTTCCTTATAGCCTTCCTTTCCCATTTTTATATTTATTTTTTAATTAAAAGAACCTTTAAACATGGAGTAAAGCACATCAGAGAGCTTGATAAATGCTATCCTTTAGGGGAGAAAATGGTGGTTCGCTAAGAAACAACATAAATCTGCTTTGGTGACAGGACAGCAGATACTAATGGCTGCTTCTTTAAAATACCTCTTTGCTAAAGAGACTTTAGGATTCTCCATGCCACATCACAAAAGATAACTCCTAGTTCAGATCACAACCAGAGTAATATCCACTTATTTCCAACAGATAAAAATGATATACAAGAATATAGATAAGCTTTACATTCCAGCTGTTGTGTAGAATCTTCTTCATTTAATGTCACCACCCTTCCGGTAGATCAGGGGCTTGCAGAATCTACTTTGTGATGGAGCCCCAAGACACACCAATTGGAACCAGATTCAAAATGGTAGCCACATATGCTTAGCATTCATGAGCAAGGTGCCCCTGAACATACATTCAGTGCAGGAACTTATTTTGGGTCCAGAACTGAGCTCACCTTCCTTTCACATAATTCATTCCTGATCTTTAAGCTTTTTTTTTTTCATATCAGCATTTAATCTAGGGGAGGGGAGCCTTTTTGTCGGCACCACCAGTGAACAGCTGAAAGGAGGCAGAAACCTTTATTAATCCATGGTAGCTCATTCAAAGCTTCACCAATGATTCCTCCTCCTCCTCCAACGTCTACCTCTACTCCTGCTGGAGGTCCCAGATTAACTTGCTGAGAAAAAAAAAAATTATGTATTAAAAATCACCTTGTCTCCTGATCAAATGTGGCTTCCACTGTGACCTCTTTGACTTACTTTTCTTCCCACAGAGGACTTTGATGCCACATTTAAAAGACTGGGAACTATGCATAGGAAAACATAAATGTCTGGGGGCAAAAGACCATTGTTTCTTTGTGAATCACTAACAAGAGACTGTGCATAATTTCTTAAGATTTAACTCCATTGTCTGTCAACTATTTCATGTGCTGAGGCAGAGCTAGTAGCAATTATACTACCAATTCTTTCTTTCTGGCCCAATTTATCCTTCAGGGTTTGCTTGCCAATAGGCAAACTAAGCTTAAAATCCAGCCTCCTATTTGTTCCTAAGGGAGGTCTTTAACAGGAGATATTGATGTACTCGAAAGATAACACCTTACTGACTTCGTTTTTTTCTTCTAGAGAAGTTCTGGCATCAAAATGAGTGTGGATACACTCTTGCATTCACGAAAGCACCAGAAAAACCTACGCTGAGCTTGATGAATCATAGCTGTCACTTCTAACAATCAGATCTGTTTAAATGAAAGCCTTTCAGTTTTAGTGTTTCAGAAGACACTAGCAATAAATGGTTTTTGAGGGCCATACAGAGAGAAACAACAGAAAACATAAACAGCACAAATTGTTTCAAATGTGTTTTCCCTTTAATTAAATAAGAACCATCTGTTGTAGGGGGAGGCCTTTGGATGTGATCCATATTATTCCTATGTTAATTTCCATCCAGCCTCCATTACTTTGAGAGAAATATGCATGCAACCCTGGGTGCCTTTATGCTTCTACTGGACAGAAGACTTCTTACTGTATATAGAAGGCTGCTAAATCCCAATGTTATGCACATTTTAATTTCAGAAGCCAATATGTATGCAAAATTTGAAATCAAATATCTTTTTAAAACAACAACAAAACAAAAACGAAATTAAATGTCAAATCAAGAAGACATGAAAAAATCAGAGGTACAGGGATATAAAGAATTCCATCATGGATCTTTCTGGAAATGAGTATTTCTCTCCTAGTACAGGCTAAAACTTATTTTTCCTTTTAAAAATTCAACTTTTTCAAATGTACAACTTAGCTGGGGATGGATGGATGGCCAGACAGACAGACAGACAGATAACCTGCCATGTCTACAAAGAAGTGGGGGTACAGGTAGTCCTCACTTAGCAACCACAATCAGGACCAGCAACTCTGTCGCTAAGCTCCATAGTCATTAAGTGAAAAATCAAATGACCATGACAGATTTACAACATAATTTCCCATTTGTTTGTTAAGCATATCGTCACAGTTGTTAAATGAGACATCATACAACTGTGATACCCAGCTTTATATCTCCACCCCAGGCTGCCTGAGCAATGTCATGGATGTCCTGTCCCAGTGCCTGGAGGCTGGGCGGGCCTGGATGGGGCACAACAGGCTTCAGCTCAACCCAAGCAAGACCAAGTGGCTTTAGATGTTTGGATCTTCTGGTGCTAAGGATTTTCCATCTTTGGTCTTGGATGGGGTGGCACTGCCTTAGACAGACCCGGTGCGCAATCTGGGGGTCCTCTTGGGCTCATGGCTCCTGCTAGAAGAGGGCTAAGAGGGCCTTTGCACACCTTTGGGTTGTGCACCAGTTGCACCCATTCCTAGACTGGAAGACTCTGCTTACGGTCACTCATGCTCCTGTCTGGATTAGTGCAATATGCTGTACGTGGGGCTGCCTTTGAAAAGCACTTGGAAACTTCTACTGTTGAAGAATGCAGCTGCATAAGTAGTAAATGGTGTTGGTTACTCGGTGCATATAACACCACTACTCCGTGAACTGCACTGGTTGCCAGCATGCTTCCAGATGCAATTCAAGGTGCTAGTTGCCACCTTTAAAGCCTTTCATGGCTTGGGACCAGGTGTCCTGAAGGACCGTCTTTTCCCATTTGTTTCTACCTATGCAATCTGGTCTGGCAGGATGGGCATGCTCTGGGTCCTGTTGGCAAAGGAATGCTAGCTAGCAGGCCCAGGAAATGCACCTTTTCTGCCATAGCGCCCATCCAATGGAACATCCTCCCCCCAGAGATCAGGATGCCCTGAGCCTGCTGCCTTTTTATAAGGCTCTAAAGACCTGGTTATGTGCCCAGGCCTGGATCCCCGAGTGCGTGAAGGGTCCTGGCTGTGTTAACAACCATGGATTATAATGTCCTCCTCGGCTGCTCTATTTTAATTTTTGTTATGTGATAGTAACTTGTTTTATGATTGTTCACCATCCAGTGTCACTTGTAGTGAGACGGGCGGCCATACAAATTGAATGAATGAATGAATGAATGAATGAATGAATGAATGAATGAATGAATGATGGGAGGACTGGTTGCAAAGCTGTTTTTTTTTTACACTGTTGTAACTTTGAACAATCACTAAATGAGGCAGTCAGTAAGTGAGGACTACCTGTATTTGTTTAGAAGATGCTTCCCTTGGAGCACTTCCTGTAATGATTGGGAGATGCACAGTGTTTGAAGCATTACAGGAGAATCAATCTGTGGACAAACAGCCCCATACTACTGTCGATATGCAAGACATTTTTACAGTTAATAAAAATAAGTATACACATTTTCCAGCTGCCTCATATGTCTCCCAGAATAAGTCCAAATCCTGGCCTATTGCAACTGGTCCAGCGATTTTTTTCTCTAGAAGTGATATTAAAAATCTAAAGGAAAAACTGGTGAACTAAAAACCTAACCCCTAAATGGGCAGATGAATAGATTTCATTCAACTCTAATCAGGAATAATCAGACATCTTGGTTAAAGTGGAAGACATACAAGTCCACTACCTGGGCATCATGACATCACATTATTTCTCTTGGGACTCTTAAAGACTTCTGCCCAGGGCACATACATAAAACATCCAAGAGCCGTGTCTCCTCTAGAGAGGCACTGATTTAGATCAGACAAACTGACATAACTAAAGGAAGCATCCAATCTGCTCACACCTGAGACAATGATCAGTGACCGAGTTTGGCTGAACACTCCCATGCAGAGGGTGACACAGAAGCAATTTACTCACTTGTATTATCAAAAGGGATCTGTTTACACTCAGTGGCTGGCCAAGGGCAGTAATAGACAGCTCCTCCTTCCACTATGTCTGGCTGGGTTGTGTTGGCTTTAGGAGCTCCAACTAGGACACTGACTCTGCAAAAGACGCAAGGGAAAAGCAGTAAGCACAAATCTGAAAGAGTCCAAGCAAGTTGCTTTGTTGACAGAGGTCTGATTCCAGAAGCCCTTGTCCAATCTCTGATAAAAACCTTACACCTCTGTCAAGAAAAGAAAAGCAGCAATCAAAGCAAGAGCAAAAAACTCATTTCTAATCCCAAAGACTGTCAAATGGCAAAGATTGTCAAATGATCATCTATGGCACTCAATAAACACTAAAGAACTGTGTTTTTAGGAGGTGAGCAGAAATATCAAGAGCTAAGAAACAATGTTTTCCCCCCATTTCCCTGGGCATTTGTTTGCTTATAGAAGGCCAGACACAGCTCATCTTGAAGTCAGGTCACTGGGTTCCAGGCTAGTAAAAGCTCCTGTCCCACCAGCACTCTTTATTTCATATATTAGTTTTTAGTGATCAAGTTGAAGACCTTCTTTTGGCACAGAGCTGCATGATTACTTGTCTTTTTCAGGGCAAATGTGTGCTCTTAAGGAAAGAGAGAGAGGCTTCTACATAATAATGTAGAAAGCATTGATAGAAGATGCATTCAACCACCCCTGCTTTTAAAGGTGCTGAATTTTTTTTAATGTTATCCCAGAAATGTTCCAATCAAATACAACTATAAGGATTAAATGATCACGGAGACCTGAACATTGCCCTCAGTGGGTGAAACGCAGATTCAAAGGGCTGAAGATGTTGAATTACAAACTGGGAAGTCCCCAGTTTAAACAGCTGCTATGAAGACAATCAGGCACCTCCCAGCTGTGTGGATTCCATTTCCCAGAATTCCTCAACAAGAATTGCCACTGCTAAGAACTCTGGGAGATATAGTCCACATATATAGAGGACACCCAGATTGGGAAAAGCTGCTCTAAGCAAGTCATTCTCTTTCTCTTAGCTTTAAACATTCCTTCCCCACTTCATCTGCCACACAGAGGATATAACATTTTGCAGAACGGTTATAAGGATTGTATCACATAGTTGGTAGCTGATCTTGGCTAATCTTGAAAAAGCGAAGCAGGGTTTTGATCTGTATTGGATGGAAGATCATCAGGAAATCTTAGGGCTATAGACTAGACTGGAAAATTGATAAAGGCAAGGGCAAACCACTTCCATATGATTGCCAAGAAAATGACATGGATGAATCAATGTAGTAACTAGGGATCCAGTTCAACTTGGAGACTTTATGTTTTTATAAGGATTATAATTAGATAAAATTGTGAAGCTCTTTGAACAAATGTTAGAAAAATGTTGCATATATTGCTAACTATAATTAAGCTATTATTATTATTATTATTATTATTATTATACACAACGTGAAATCACAGCTGCCGCTTGTTTAGCTGGTGTTGGGCTTCATTCGTATTGAATTCTTCCCAAGAACCTAGAACGTCATAGTATATCGGCATAGTATATGTGCAGATCCAACTAGCGTGGCCTTTTGTAGTTGACAAATAGACATTTTGTCAACGTGCAGATTTTCTATGTGCTGTCCAAGGCTTGTTGGTATGGCACCAGTATCCCAATAACCACAGGGACCACCACTGCCGGTTTATACCATAATCTTTCAACTTTGATTTTCAGATCTTGATACTTTGTGATCTTCTCTAATCCTTTGTCTTCTATTCTACTGTCCCCTGATATTGCCACATCAATTATCATCGTCGTCGTCATCATCATTTAAAGGATACAAAAGACCTCTTCCCTAAACTGGTCATCAACACATTAACATCTTCTGGGATCCATCCAGTCCATTCAATCCATGCCACCAAGTTTCGGAATTAGGATATAATCTTCAGAATCATCCAGATACCTGCATGATTCATTTCCCCAATGTTGAGAACACACTCTTTTCTACAGTCCATGTCTGCTCCTAAAACTTGGGATGCAACACCATTCGCACTTCTGCATCCTCTATCTGTAGTATCAAATGGTGAGCTGTAGGTGTAAATGGGATGCCACAGAGAAAACACCACAAATATACAAATAGAAGTTCTCCCTCCCACAGACTTCATTCACTTGTGCAAGGATACTGGTCCATCTATCCACTTAAGAGACATAAAGTAGTTTAGGGTAGAAAAAGCAGACAAGGCATACGTACCAATCTGGCTTCACCCCTATATTGATCTCATCAAGCCAATCTCCTCATTCATTTTAATTACAACAATTCAGAGTTTGCAACAGAATGTTTCCTTGATGTCTAAGGACAGAGCCCCCAATATACCTACCACCAGTAGAAAACAACTTGCTTCTAAAATCTGAAACCGGTAATTTGACTTCCTACCTAAGTAAAATGGTAAAGACTGTTGAACTCAATTTCTGGTAATTTCTTGGACACATCTAAGGAATTTCCCTGGCAGCCATGTGGAATTGGTTGGCCACTGCATTCTTCCAGACTTCTACGGAATTGCATTCTACAGCCATGAGCCTTCCTGGTAATCTCCCTCTCAAAACACCAAGTCCTAACCTGTTCTGACCCCTACTTAGCAGTTTGTGGGATCAGCCAAGGTTGTCTCAATGCTGCCGCCTGCTGTAGTCCTGCTCAGGCAGAATAAAGGTAATCTTAGGCATGTCAAATTCCACAGGGGGTTGAAGCAGAAGAAATCAATTTTTCTTTAAAGCTTTTCTTTAACTCATATAAAGCATTGATAAACTGTTCCTGTCCAACTTCATAGATGGAACGTATAGCTCTGAAATCTGTATGCTGAATCTGGGTTAACTCCAGATGTGTGGGGACTACATCTCCCAAGATTCCCAGTCATGTGGCTGGAGAAAGCTGGTACAGATCTTTTGAGGCTAGGTGGTCAGTGCATTTTCAGGAAAAGCTGTATTAGCCTGAAATTTGAACCAAACTCGGAGAACACCAAGGACTCCACACTCTGAAGAAGAGCTTGAAGTGGCTTGCAAATTAACATCAGACCAAACAGCTCATTCATATATGTTCCCTTATGACTTTCCTACTTTGCTGAATAGCAGTTTTATGGAGTTCTACTGACTTCAGTGAACTCATATTAACTGAAACTTCTCCAGAGCAAAAGGGTGTGTGGGTGACTGGATGATTCCTGCTCAGCACACTACAGTTCAGTTAAAAGATAGGACGTGCTGGATTTGCATCCATTTTATTGCTGTGCAATCAGTATTGCCACTAAAATTCACAATCATTATCAGAGCACTCATTAAATTCTTTGGCACACTGTGCAAAAGATGAAGGTTGGTTTGGATGGGGTTGCAAGCCCACCATTTCTTCACTATGAAATATCTTTCCAGAAACCCCACTGCTTTAATCTATGGAACCCCCATTAACAACAGAGTACATTTCTACTCAGAATTCAATCCCACTGAATTTAACGGTGAGGAATCTTAATTATGTAGGTCTTAATTCTCTGCTACGCCATTGCTATGCACATTTACTTGGAAATATGTTTAACAAGGGAGCTGTTTCCGGGCAAACCTGTGCAGTTCTGCACTGTACGGCCGGAGTCAACAGCATTATGAGAGTAAGAACTTCGTTGGCACTTCGCTGACTACGCACAGGATGGAGCTGGAAAAAAGCAAGTGTATACAGTATATCGCCCCCGCAGAGCAGTCACCCGACCTCCGCTCGGCATCTCCCGGGGCTCAACTGCGCTGTGGCTCGCGTGGATGGATCGCAACGGCCGAGATCCATCCTCCTCCTGCAATTTCCAAGCGCAAACGAGCAAGGCACATCCGCGTGCCCATCAAAGAGGAGCGCTACTTACGCGTTCGGTGCAGGGCTGTAAAAATCCAGCGCGTAGCCGAAGTAACTGCCATCGGGGCCGCTGTAGACGGCGAGCTTCTCTTCGTCCAGGTTGAAGGCGCGCAGC